TTCAGTACCCCCTACTACCAGTTTTTTAAAGTTTATTATTATTGTTATTATTATTTGAGTTAGAGTCTCACTCTGTTGCCTACGCTAGAGTGCAGTGGCACACTCACGGCCACCGCAGCCTCCATGTGCTGGGCTTAGGTGATCCTTCTGCCTCAGTCTTCCAAGTAGCTGGGACTACAGGCACGTGCCACCACGCCTGGGCAATTTTTGGATTTATTGTAGAGATGAGGTCTTGCCAAGTTGTCTGGGCTGGTCTTGAACCCATGGGCTCAGGCAAATCCTCTCACCTTGGCCTCCCAAAGTGCTGGGATTATGATTGTGAGTCACCGTGCCCGGCCTCCTACCATCAGTTTTTAAGAATTACTTTTTAAGCCAGGCTTGGTGGCTCAGCCTGCAATCCCAGCGCTTTGGAAGGCTGAGGTGAGTGGATTGCCTGAGACCGCGGGTTCAAGGCCCACCTGGGTAGAGACCTCATCTCTACAATAAATAAAAAAATCAGCCAGGTGTGGTAGCGCGCGCCTGTAATTCCGGCTACTCCGAAGGCCGAGGCGGAAGGATCGCCAGAGCCCAGCAGGTCGAGGCTGCGGTGGCCGGGAGCGGCCACTGCACTCCAGTCTGGGCGACAGAGTGAGACTCCAACTCAAAAAAAAAAAAGTTTTGTTTTGACACACCGCTCTAGTTATCTCTGGGAGTGAGGGGGATGAATGTGTGTATAAAATCTTTTTGTTTGTTTTTACAATATTTCTCTTTTTAAAAAATTTAAAAACTTTTTTTGGTAGAGATGGGGTCTCATTGCCCAGGCTGCTCTCACACTCCTGACCTCAAGCGATCCTCCCGCCTTGGGCTCACAAAGTGCTGGGATTTGACAAGGCCAAGCCGCACACTCGTTCTTCTTTTTATTTTATTTTATTTTTACTTTTTATTGTTTTTGAGTCAGAGTCTCACTCTGTCGCCCTGGCTGGAGTGCAGCGACACGCTCACGGTCACTCCAGCCTCGACCTGCTGGGCTCCGGCCATCCTTCCGCCTGC